TCAACTTTACAATTTTCTAGAGAAAATGCAATTTCATTCAACACACCGAATAACTTTTTATAACTCACTCCTGCATAGAGTCTTAGAAAAAGGTTTAGAGGTCATGAGAAAAAGGTTTAGAGGTCATGATAAAAGCTTCCACATATACCACCAATGTGTTAACTCAGGCATCCAATACTCTAAATTCCTTCATGCAGACAACGGATCAAGTAACACTTAAGCCATAGCTAGGTTAGAAACCCAACTTGGTCAACTAGCTAGTGTCGTGAGTGAAAGAGAGAAAGAAAATTTTCTGGGTCAACCTGTTACAAATCCTAGGGACACTGGATCAAGTTCAACCTATCAAGCTCAAGTGAAAGCAATCCATTCATTATGGTCAACAAAACATGTCAATAATCAAGTTAGAATGCCTCAAGATTAAATTCCATCTTCTTATATTCAAAATGTTGATCCTAAGTAAACTCTCTCTCCTTCTGATAACTCTATTCAACAATCACTCCCTTCCCATGACCAAGAACCTGAAACCAAACCTGAGCTCAATTTTGATATATTTAAACACATTGCTCCATTTCTAGATAGACTCGGCCTAGGCAAAACTCTCCCTAAGTAGGAAAATTTTCTAGAAACTTTAAGCAAGTTAAGGTCAACATTCCTCTCTTAGATACAATCAAACAAGTCTCATCCTATGTAAATTTTTGAAGGATTTGTGCACTAAGAAAAGAACCGCTAATATTTCCAAGAAAGCCTTTCTAGCTGTCAATATCTGTAACATGCTCCCAAAGCCCATGTCTTTGAAATATAAGGACCCCAGTTGATCTACCATTTCATGTGTCATGGGAAACACTTTCATTAATAAAACACTTATATACTTGGGAGCTAGTGTGAATCTTCTTCTTTATTTAGTTTTTCAATAGCTAGGTATATGTGAATTAAAGTCAACCAGATGTACCCTCTAGTTAGTTGATAGATCTATAAAAATTTCTTAGGGAGAGATAGAGGATGTTCTGATCAAGGTAGGAGAGTTTATTTTTCCTATTGATTTCATAGTCTTAGAGACATAGCCCGTTTTCAATCTCAGAGGTCAGATATATGTCATTTTAGGAAGAACATACTTAGAAACTTCTAATGCTTTGATCAATTGTAGAACTAAAATTAAATAAAGTTGTTGTTGATGTTAGTTATCTAACAGGGAATTTTATATGGATTATGTGAGGTGTTAGGGTCTCCAATCTCCTTTAGATGACTAGGTTCTAAGCAGTAAATTCCATCCTACACATGAACAACACGTAAGAGGTCGGAGTTGAGATCTTCGGTGATTCCTCTGACGATCAAGTCAGTAGAGAGCTTGAGTGAAGAAGTAGGAAAATAATATAGTTTTTAGCAAGAGATTGCTTATCCTCAGCAGTAGTCAACAGCTTCCTTTAATAGCAGATCCAAAGGGTAGATGGGTAACATCTGCCGAGTCAATCAGGCGGCTCAGTCATCATCTACTTTACAAGTGTTGGCTACAAAGGGGGATGAGTTATCCTTGCGTTTAATATGAGGGTGATAGAATGTGCGTAGCCCTGACGAGGTCCGATGAGTCATAGACTTTCGGGACTGGAGAAATAATGACTCTGATCATTTATTTAATGTGATGGCAATTGACTATCGATAGGGGCCCGAGGATACACCGCCTCTAGACTCAGCTTTGGCGAGAGACAAACGAAGCCTCTTGTCTCAATTCTGTGAGAAGACCGAGAAGTACCCCCTTTTTAGTCTGCCTTGAAGGTTGTCAGACCGTCCTTGTGAAATGAAAAAGAGTGGGGTTGACTCGAATGGTGTGAGCTGATTGCCATTTTAGTCGGCCTTGAAGGTTGTCGGCCCGTCCTTGTGAAATGAAAAGGAGTGGGGTTGACTCGAATGGTGTGAGCTGATTGCCTTTTTAGTCGGCCTTGAAGGTTGTCGGCCCATCCATGATTCAAGGAGGGTCGAGTGCTAAAGTCGTTCAAATCATCCTTCCCATAGTGTGGCTGATTAGTTACTTACGATGGGACACGTGTTGGCTCCTCATTGAGGGCAACACTTAGCTATTTGTAGGATATAATAGTTGTCCTTTGAGAATATGAATATTGATCTCAATATTTTCAACATAGTGAACCAACCGACTGATTCATTAAATCAACCCCTAGTAGTAAACTATAACCAGGAAAATTCAAGTGAAGAGTTAGAAGAGGAGAGTGAGTCAGAGCTGAGTTTTGAGAAAAATTTTAGTGATGAAATCAAGATACTAGAGGAATTTGAAGCAAAACTATTTTTTATGGAATCAGACACAAGTTTCTATGATCTTAGCTTTGAAGAATTTTTTTTGATGAGCTTAAGTTCCTAAAAAATATAGATAACCAGTTTATCATGCCTCAACTATGAATCTTGGGTTTGAGAAAATTTTTAATGAAGAACTAATTATGTTAGGACAAACTTTCACTCATGTGGAACCTGAGTTCAAATCTGAGACTTGCTTTCTGTTATCAACACCAAAAATTTAAAAGGCATAACCTCCTTCTTACCTGCCTTCAAATGCTACAAAAATCATTAAAAACCTCAGAGTGTATAGAATTTAAGCACATCTTTAACATTCAGGGTAGAATTTTCAGTAATAATGTAGGATTTAATGTAGAGCGTGAGCTTTTTATTTTCAATCTTTTATTGTACATATTTACTCTTTGTCAAAATAATAATATTATACATCTTTTTTTTGTCTTAAAATAATAATAAAAAGAATTTATTCTTCTCACCTTTGAGAATATCTTGTTCTTTTGAAAAAAAGAGAAAAAAGGAAAAAAAATAAAAATGGCTAAAAAATTAAAAATATTGAAAGAAAAAATGTATAAAAATTTTGGTTACATTCTCCTCATACCAAAGGTAATTGCATATTTTAATTTTATCATTATTCATAGTCGACCGAACAAATATCAGTGCATCATTTTTTATCTGCCTTACTTTATGCATCATATAATTTGTATTAAGGACAATGCAAAATTTAGGTGTGGGGGCGAGGACTAGTCATCTTTTCTCCTTATTTTACCATTTCTTCTTCCTTTTTTTCAATATTTTTCCTTTTCTTTCCTTTAAATTTTTTTTGTCACTTGTCAACTTGATAAAGTTAATTAATAGCTGGTTTACTTAATGTTTTTTTAAATTTTCTAATACTTACTTAGTTTTATACTCAAGTTGATCTTTTATGATAACTCTAAGTAAATATCTTAAGAAATAATTTTTAAAGTACTATTGGTCGAATTTAGACTTTTAATTAATGTAATGAAATTTTTGCATGCTTAGCTTAGAGTGAAAAATAATTTTCAAATTATCTTGATCTAAGCTTTTTATTTTTTTCAATATATATATATATATATACTTACTTAGTTTTATACTCAAGTTGATCTTTTATGATAACTCTAAGTAAATATCTTAAGAAATAATTTTTAAAGTACTATTGGTCGAATTTAGACTTTTAATTAATGTAATGAAATTTTTGCATGCTTAGCTTAGAGTGAAAAATAATTTTCAAATTATCTTGATCTAAGCTTTTTATTTTTTCCAATATATATATATTAATATATATATATATATATATAAGATTAATGGGTATCCTTGTCATAGGAGGGGATTTCTTCTTGACGCCTCTAAAATCACATGATTGAGCGCACATTGTGGATGATCCGCTCCGTTGAACTTGATCTACATATTCTAAAACCCCAACACACCAAGTTTGGGGTGAACCCGTCGTCGTTTGACCCTTCATCCACTCGTATCAATTTTAAGTTTTGAATGAAATAAACTTTTCACATGGCTCGATGGAGTCAAACGACGACGGATTCACGCCCAAACTTAGTGTGTTGGGTTTTAAAATATGTAGATCAAGTTCAACGAAGCGGATCATCCATAATGTCGCTCATCATGTGATTTAGAGCGGCGTCAAGGAAGGAAATCCTCTCCTAAGACAAGGATACCCATTAATCTCATATAATAAAATATATATATATTATATATTATATATATATATATATAGAGAGAGAGAGAGAGAGAGAGAGAGATTAATGGGTATCCTTGTCAAAGGAGGGATTTCCTCCTATGACGCCTCTAAAATCACATGATTGAGCGACATTATGGATGATCGCTCCGTTGAACTTGATCTACATATTCTAAAACCCCAACACCAAGTTTGGGGTGAACCGCGTCGTCGTTTGACCCTTCATCCACTCGTATCAATTTTAACGGTTTTGAATGAATAGAACTTTTCACCATGGTCGATGGAGGTCAACGACGACGGATTCACCCCAAACTTGGTTGTGTTGAGGTTTTAGAATATGTGACTCAAGTTCAACGGAACGGATCATCCATAATGTCGCTCAATCATATAATTTTAGAGGCGTCATAGGAGGAAATTCCTCCTATGACAAGGAATACCCATTTATCTCTCTCTCTCTCTCTCTCTCTGCTCTATATATATATATATATATATATATATATATATATTAACCAATAATAATGAAACAATGTCACAAACTCTTATAGTCACAATTCTCAATCTATTATTAATCTTTCATTTGTAGAAGAACGTCCTCTAAAAGCTTAAAAAATGGAGAATGTAGAGTTGAGTGAATTTGATATTCTAACTACAGAACAAGATCGAGGGTACACCATCTAATTCGATTAGCAGGTTTAACTTATTTGCTCATCCGGAATAAGTGAATATATCAACGGAACTAAAATCATTCGTGTTGCATGAATTAGAAGTTCTCAAATGTCATAAGCATTCGTTTTAAATGTTTAAGTTCTGATGAATGAATCACACAATAATCTAACTTGAATAAATCATGCAATAATCTAGCACAATCATACGATAATCAAACTTAATGAATAAATTAACAGAGTTTTTTTGATAAGTTAAAAACGTCGATGAAAAACAGATATGAATTAATATTTCCACATGATCTGGTTTACTACACCAGATTCTCCCATTTTCACCAATTTAACCAATTAAATACTAGAGAAATGTTCAAAGAATACATTACAGGTCCCAACAACCCCTTTCGCAGCTCTTAAAACAACAAAAAGAAACAGGAAAATCAAACAGTGAGAGAGCATATTTTAAAATATCAGTAACATTAGAAAAGACTAAAGGGGCATTCAGTAAAAATCCGGGAACATAATCTCCTCCTGGACGCAGCTCATACAATTTGAGTGCTAAAGAACATACCATGATCTATACTGGGTTACATGTCGACAGTCTCATCCGACTAAAAATTGCTTTTCGTGCGTCAGATCAGAAAATTAGCCACTGAAAGATTGTTCTTCTACATAACTGACCAATTGCTAGCTAGTCCCAGACATTTGTCACCTTTTCTTGTTTTTGTTTCTACCTTTCACTTGCTTTTCTAGGTTTTCTTATCGCTGGCTCATAACAGAAGATGAAGAAATTCTGCGATCTGCCTTGATCGGCTCAGATCCTGAAGCTGGCAATGCAGCAGAAGAAGAATAGGAACTAGAACCAGAATTAGGGTTTAGGGTTCTTCACACCCCAAACTGAAGAGGCAGGTGCAGAATTAGAAGACCGAGTTATATCAGGGAGATTCAGGAATTTCCTTACTATTTTGCGCTTGAGAACTGTTCACAGTTAAAAATATGATGAATGTCATATTACTGACTATTTGGGAAGAAATCATTGGGTAGAATTTGAAGAATAGAACTCACCGGCGCCATAAACAAGGGAAAAAAGGTTTGATGTGATCCAATAACAAAAAACTGCCTGCCCAACAATAAAAATGTAATCTGTTTTAAACTAGAATATACCTAAAAATTCAATTGTATTGTTTCATAAATAAATAAATAAAAATACGCACATCGCAACAACTTGTTTGTGGTACGATGTCAAAATAAACAGACAGAAGAAGGTATCTATATCGATAGAAATGATTATTAGATACTAACTTTTATAATATCCGTGGAACATTAGAGAAATTCATGCATATAGGAAGCTGCCTTTTACCATGTATGAGTTTGTGCATCGTGGTCACATCTGATACTGCTTAAGCAACCTGGAAACAGACTGACTTATGCATTACGATTTTAGCTCACACATATATATGGAACCCCATTCAGACTGACAACTGAGTAAATGTAAAATGAATCTCAACCAAAATCAGATTAAATTAGCTAATTTACAATCTAACAATGATTTGGGTGACAGACAAGTGCTGTTGATGACATAGGTAAGAAACTTAGATGCGACATACAGATGAGAGTACAATACATTAGTTCCATGTTTATGCGTGTATCCACTGTATAAACTTTTTTTTTCCCGCTTTACCTGCTCGCACATGGTAGCCAAAACAATTGCATAAAGTAATTTAAAAAACAAAGAGCAAACAATCATTAACTTTTATAATATAGTAGGACTTAAGAAGAAAAATATTCCTTACTCTAAGGCTTAGACATCAACCTCATGAATAAGTTAATAAAAAAAGATGTCACTCCTTGCTAGTTGACACTTCACTCCATTCACCAGTGGTAAGAGATTTCTTATGAAAATGGTCAAGATATCAATGGTATCGTTTAATTGTGAAATGTTATGGTTGATTAGGAGTTTCTCATCCCCCCCCCCTCGCCCTCTCTCTCCAAAAAAAACACAATCTTGCTTTTTCTTCTTCTCTTTTCCTTTTCCACTTTCTTCTTTCCTTGCCTTTTTTTTGTCATTTATCTGATACTCTGATACCTTTTGATAAAGCTGGCAATACTAGGGAGATTTCTACCCTAAATCATATTCTAAGACCATGCATACATTTTTGCACCAATACAGCAGGTCAGATAGATAGAGTTGCATGAGTTATATAACAACTGTTGTCATGATTACATCTACTGATGCTGAAGATCAAGAGCATAGAAATCCACACTCATTAGTCATTAAATCATCCACGTTTATCGAAATTAAATTGTTTGTTACCTCCTGCCTCGTACATGTGAAATGCAGTTGGTGATACTAGAAGTCTCTACCCTAAATCATACTCTAATGTCATAACATTTATGTCTTGATGTCAATGCAATATCTCATCTCAGGCGTAGCTGCGAGATTTCTGGAATCCTTTTGTGTATCATGATTGCAACAGTATAAATTAAATCGCCTATGATATATAAACAGACTTTAAAACGTAGATATACAATTATCCATGTGTACAATATGTGATAAAATATAATGGCTGTTCTGCTAGTGGATCAACAAATTTCTGAAGTTCTTCAAACAAAAAACACTCAACAACTTTCCATATGTATACTAGGTGATAAAATTTTATGGTCCACTCTGCTAGTGGATCAACAAATTTCTGAAGTTCTTCAAACAAAAAAAATTGACAACTGAAAATGATGTTCCATATGCTAAGTTTTATATCACATTTCAGCATCTAATCAAGAGAAAGATCAGGCAGACAGATTTATTTCAAAAAAAACAGTGACAATTGAACAAACAATATATGATAATATATTTTATCTTGCAAGAAAATGATGGCATGCCTCTACGCATGTGTCTGACAAGCATGCGATTCCATTTTTCTAGTGGAACCTAAATACCAGGCCTAGAAGTTTTTTATTGGCATATAACTCCTCTTCCTTTCCCTTTATTACAGAGAACTCCTTGCATTGTCAACATTTCTCTACATGCCCTTATTCCATTTGAATAGTTCATGGCAAACTCCTATTAGTCACCCAACAGTCATCCAAGCATCCTTAATACTATAAAACGAATATTTTTGTCATGATATTGTCCTTATATGCATTAGTCCACATAGAGAATCTATGGCAGCAAGCAAACACGTGTTTGGATTATTTGAAGTGTTATTTTCCCTCATCAGCAAAACCTTTTCTATATCCCAGCTGCCATGCATTAATCTAGAAAACAACAAAAGGGCTTACTACTTCAAGGCCATTCTCTGATCCTCAACTGCAAATTTAGGCAAATTGCGATGCTTGGATTGCTAAAAGTCCTTCAAATCATATGTTTTTACAACCCCCAACTTGTTGAAAGAGGTACAGAATTTTATAAAACTTCGACCTTGCTAAAATATGGGAGAGAATGCACGGGTCTGATGACTTAATATACCAGAAGTGTTGAAGTAGGTCAGTGTTTACTATGCCTTTTGTTTGATGCAAACTTGAAGTAATTGCCGGCTCCGAGCCAGAGCATGTTTTAACATTGAGGTATGGATGGAGTCATTTAACGCATTTGATTGACGAATTTAGGGACTTGTATAATCATTACAGCTTATCTTTGCCTTTGGCTGTGGGAGCACTGCTAATGAGTCTTTCGGAAGTACAAAGACTAAACTTTAGTAAACCAAAGGATACTCGTGTCATGATGACTCCAAGTCTTTCTCATGACTGGAATGTTATTGTTTCCTCCTGTTAAAAGAAAACTAACAGAAGCCTTTATAAGCATCAAATGCGATAAGGTAGTGATGCTAGGAATTATATTAAAATGAAAAATAAGCTATTTGCTGAAAGCCTAAACCCGGAAATTTTAAAGGGCTATATTTAAAGAAAAATAACCTCCTTGATACAATTACAAAAAAGAATCATAACAATGGAAAGGGCTTCGGTTTCCCAGAAGGTAAAAACCCTGGTGACACCAAATCAAAGTTCAAGATTCACCATGACTCATTTGAGGAGTTCAACCACATTAGAACCAAAACTAATCACAGAAGAAATACACAATTAAAGAGGATAAGGGTTAGCTTTAACGTCTTCATTTTATACCTGTGGGAAAGTTGCTGTCAAAGGAACTGTCAGAACAGCCATTCCCCTAGAGAACTTCTTCATAGTGCCCTCCATCGGATTGCCTTCCATACCCTCTTGCATATTCAACTGAAAATGCAACAAAATAGGTCTCTGTCAGCATACTCCAAAGACTGGAAGATAAATCAGCTAATAGCAAGTGACTTTAGTCTTTTAGTAAGTAAGAAAAAGACGACGAACATTATATGAAATGACCTTGATAAATTAAGTTTCCATTAATTTGGCAGAAACAAATCGTATGTATTTCCCTTATCAAATCATAGTGTAGTTATCAGGAAAAATGAAAAACATTATCCAACTACAAGCACTTAGTCATTTCAACTGAAAAAGATTATTCAGGCCTATAATGAATTTGAGTTGAAGAACATATAAAGTGATGGGGCTTTCATAAATTCAAAAAGAAATATGAAGTTTGACTTGTTGGCCAATAGGAAACCCAGCATATTCGTCATGGACTCTAAATTCATGCAACCAAGAAAGGAGCCAGCCTGCAGCAATAATAATATACCAAAAAATCATGCCAGTGGACAGCAAAACTGAGAAGGATAACTCAAGCAGTGTACAAATTTCCCCTATATTGATTCATCAAAAGGTTCAAAATCATGATATAGCTTGCTCTGGTTCATGTCTATCATCATCACTCATCAGTATCAAGCGGTTTTGGTGTTTTCATGGTTCTGGATAGGATGTACTGATAAAAGGAAGAAGTAAATTCAATAACAAGCTTTCCACCACAATATAACATCATTAACTTTTATATTTCAAACTTCATCCTTATTTATTGCAGTAGTCTCTATTAGTGAATAACAGAATGTATAATCATTATTGGCTAATTTGACTGTATTGATTGGTTTTAGCTCAACCAGATTGGTATTGACAGATACTTCAAATCTTGGTTTATCATAAAATCTCATGCTATAAAATATATCTCTCGACAATTCTTCTCCTAAAAAAAGCTTATCAGACGATATATTTCTATTTTGAAATATCATGTAACCAATCATTCTCGACATTTCTCTAGTATTTTACGCCTCTAATTTTCATGTTATTTCAAAACAGTCAAATAACCACAAATATCCACATTGATAAAGTGAATCAAGCCTTAACGTAGACAAACTTCAAAAGTTTCTCAGTGCAAAGATGAATATATAAGAGAACCAAAGTTAAGAAGACAAACCAAAATTAAGAAGACAGCCACATGCGGTTTAAAATATAATGGTAGAAGATGTATTAGAGTCGCACAATATTGATTAAGAATTCAAACCATAAAATGTAAAGTACGAAAAATATTGTTTACCTCCACTGTTGCCAAGAAGGTCAATCCAGTCAAAATGGGAAGTGCATACAAAGGATCCGGGATGGTTAAATCAGTAAACCACAATGCTCCCCCACCTTTAAAAGATGGAACTTTCTCAACCATGTTTTGGATCTACAAGATATTAATAGGTAATTAGGATTATCCTATATTCTAAAAAGCATGAACAGTATTTGGCCGCTTCAAAAACTCCATGATCCTAAACTAACAAAAAGAATATACATATATACGTGTATATATAGAATATTGAGTATCCTTGTCGGGTTCTCTCATATGACAATGATGTGATACGATCTCAACCAAGTGAATAAAGAAAAGGAAAACTCTAATAGCAATACTTGGATGAGATAGAGTTACATCAATGTATATGACAAAATCCCCTCATATGACAGGTGATACTCATTAACCTCGTGTGTGGAACAGAATCCCTCATGTGACATATGAAACTCATTAATGTCATGTGAGTTTGTGTGAGGTGGCCCTTCATTTTGCTAAATGAGTAACCATCTGATGCGGTAAGGCCCACAAATCCGATGCGGTGAGACCTTACTATTTATTTATCTTTTGGTAGCTCATTTAGAAAAATGAGTAATCACCTACCCATTTTCTCTACATTCATACATACATATGAGAATAATGGGCATTATATGTTATGTGGGTATTCTCTCATATATAGTGATGTTGCGTAATTTCAGCTAAGGGAAGAAATGAGTTATTTCTTTACTACTTAATAAAAGCTATCTTTCAACAAAAAACTTTCTCTATGCTATGATACAGACACGGTACGAGTGCGGGCACAGGTATTGCACACGATAATTTTGTTAAAGCTAAGATATGGAGACCTTTCTATCTATTTATAGATTAATAATTTACATGACTAATATTTTTTTAATTCATATGTAATGAGAATTAGAATTTCTAAAATATTTTATATTTCTTTCGTTATGTAGCCATAAATTAGAATGTATTTTTGGACTTGATAGTGAAAAGACCCATTAAAATCGTAATTCTAAAATGGATAGATGCCGAAAAGAAGTCACTTGTGTCCAATGAATTTTAAGAAGTAGATGTGAAGCACTTGATATATATCCAAAAGTATAATAATTGTTTTAAATCAAAACACACACTACAAAACTGACTACATGTTTGAATAGAAACATGTACATTTTCTAGGAGTCCCCAAGGAAGTGTAAGTTGTGAATGGGTACATTACGTGTCGGCTACAGTTACGACATCAAGATAGAAACCTTTGTGCAACATAACCCTATGCATACATAAAAAAGACAATAAAAAAAGAAGGGAAAGAAGAAAAGAGATAAGGTAGCTGATCTAACAACAACAACAAAGCTTTTTATCCCAAAGTTTACTTGGGGTCATCTACATGAATTTCATTCTTTTGTTTGGTTGTATTTTGGGTTATCTCTTTTTTTAAGTTAACCATTATCATATCTTTTTTAATTGCTTCTAAATAAAGTTTTAGGTCTACCTCAAGACCTCATTGCCCACATTAACTATAATCTTATTCATTCTCCTAACCCATGCAAGCAGACACCTCCATTGTACATAACCAAACTATGGTGGTTTCTCAATTTATTAAATCAATCAAAATAAAACCTCAGAGATTTAAACATGTAACATTTATTATCCATAATTTTAATCTCGATCAATTTGTAAAGGGAAAGTAAGGTTGATTGGAATAATATTTGGAGATGGATATTTAAGGTGAAGGTGAATACGATTAGAAAAAGCATCTATAAAAGTAACTTGTTTTATTCTTGAAATAGACAACAAAAGAGAGAACTTTCTCACAACTTGAAAACAAACCTCTTTTTCTCTTGATTTTTACATCACTGTTATCATAGCCATTCAATTTCTTCATGTTTTTCACCGAAACTCTCACCATTAAATCCAAGCTCTCTCCCCCAACTTTATCCTCTCACATAGGCCATATTCTATCCCGAGCACAAGATTGCAACCTCACTCCTTTGCTCACGCGAGCCGCTGCAAATCTGAGTAGTTTTTTTAGCGCAACCTCCGCTAATCTGATTGGTGATGTCTTCCTCGATAAAATAGATCTCAAGATCAAATATGATCTTTACGTCTATTGATGCCTCTCCGGACCCAATCAAGCACCGCCAAACACTAAACTATCGCTAATGCATTAACTGATCACTCCATTTAACATCGTTGCCCTAAATCCGAGCGAGCCTGAGCCCCTTCAACGACAAACTTGATCTGATCAACATTGTGACCATAGATTTTAGCAAGCCTAAACCTAATCCACGACTATCTCCATGACGTAAAAGTTGAGAAAGGAGAGATCTTTTGGAGCTTCAATAAGAAAAATGCCTTTTGATGTGTACAGAATAGAAAATATCTTTTTATAGAGGCTTTTCCTTAACAATCTCTACCTCAAATAACTACCTCTTAAATATTACTTCAACTAACCTTGTTCCGCTATAAATTGATTTGTTAGATTGTGAATAAAAAATCAAACATTTTTAAAATCTCTAGAATTTTATTTGGTTGATTTGATCTCACACATTTTCTAATCATTTCATTTTGCTCTCGCTCTCCATGCAGAGTAATATATATTATTGGCTTACCACATGAATCTCATCAAACTAACATGCTCAATAAACACTTTTAGAGGTTCCCCTTAATAAAGAAATTAGTTATGATGTTTGTAGTGAGAAGTCACATTTACTTTTCCATTGTCTATAGTATCTTGAATATAGTGACAGTGGATAGTATGCCTTTCTTTAAAATTATTTGCATCACTATAAATCAGGCTAATTGCCTTCTATTTATGATGGTAGATTTCAATATGTCCTTTTAACAAATTAAGACTCGTTCAATTAAAAATCGTCTTATACCGATAGCATGTATAACTGTCATATTGCAAGCTATATATTATGCTTCTTGTTTGTATCTTGCAACACGCTCTTGTTTTTTACTACTCTAAGAAAAGACTCCTCTTCTAAAGATGAAAAGGTGTCTTAAAGTGGATTTTTTATCATCTTTATCACCTCTAAAATTAACATTGGGGTAACCAAGGACTTCAAACAAATCAATTTAATAAACTAATCTATGAAACAACGTACCTCTCATGTATTTCATAATCCTTCCAATAGCTTCCCAAATTTGTTAGACTAATATTGTTTTGATATCTACTAACCAATCTCACATTATCTGCTAAATTAAGCCTGCTACATAACATTGTCTAGATCAAGCTTCCAACTGATTGATCATAAGCAACATCCAATGGTTATCGCCCCTCTCCAAGGCTTTGTTCTTTACATAATCTAAGTCAACAAGGAATATCACTCTCCATGGATATGAAGAGCAAGAAATGAACGAAAATATATATCTCACATATTGTGGGGGTCACATCGTTTGGTTAATTTGGTCAAGTGGAATATGTTGCTCAGTTTGACCAAATCAAACAAATAAAAAATCTCATGGATTTAAACATGTGAGAATTGTTAGTTATAATTTCAACATATTGATTTATTGAAAGAGAATGGGTTTGGTTGGAGACGCAGGTGGTCAGAGAAAAACCTCTATAAAAGGAACTTATTCTGTTTTGTGAAATACTAAATATAAAGAAGTTCTCACCGAAGACCTAAAATAAATCTCTCCTCTCAAAATTTACATCAATCATCTCAATTGATTCTCTCACTATATTCTCAATGGGGCCAACCCTTAATCTTCTTTTGATGTTTTCATTTCTTGTCCTATATTTGAGTGTATACCCATAAGACTATTGCAACATTTTTATTTTTGTTATGCTCATTTTTTGCACATGTTGTTTTTTAATTGCCTAACATTTTGATCCATAAAGCATTATTAGTCTTACAGCCAATCTATAGAATTTTTCTTAATCTCATAGGTATATTTTATAGTCACATAAGACTCTAAAAGTTCTTAATTTTAATCATCTTGTATATAAATAAGATGATTATCAAAAGTTTGCATTCGATTGTTTCAAAATTTAATACTAAAGAGATTCAGAAACTCAGCTAAAAAAAATATGTATGTAAAAATTTGGAAGATGATGAACTGAATAATTTAAGATACTGGATTGGTCGATGAGCCTGTGGCCGCTAGAGCAGTGAAATAAGGTCCACTAGGAGCATGCTGGCAATGACAGGCAAAAAGGCTCGAATATTTTTGTCTCAAATTAGTAGACATGAGATTAGACAATAGGAGCTCTCGAGTTTTATCTCCTCATATCACTAAATGTGCGGTTGAAGAGAAGATGAGATAACCTTTTCTTCTCATTTTTTATATGAAATTTGACAAGATTACCCTTTAAATGAGTGTCATTTATCTTGATCCATCAAGTTAATCCAAGGGCTAGAAAATTGGCTAGACAAAGTCTACTATCCACATAAATGGAGATAAACTATGTGTGTGTGCGCGCGCGTGCATGTTTATATGTGCATGCAAGCACACGCACCGTGTGTGCATATATTGGATATGGAGTGAGTGATGGCTCATTCCCATAGATGAGCTACCAAAAAATGCATTAGCGAGAGGCCCATCTTATTAGTGACATCAAAACGTGCAAGCCTCAAATTGCCATGCGAGTTGTCAGTTTATACCTAAGGTTAGTGGGATCGTTATCTTACTGCAATAGAAAGAAACAACATTCTAAATAACCATAAATAAAATTAACTAGGAGAACCAATTCTTGATGAAAATAAACATTATCTTAGTGATGCAGTCTGCACTTTACTCTTTTCTATTAACCATTACTTTATTGGTTTAGCTCATAGCCTTCAAGATAAGGTCAGAGAACAACTTATGAATTTTAGGTGTAAAACTCTTACAGATTTCAAATGGTATAAAGATGATTTTCTTTCTTTCTAAAGTTTACAAGCTAGAGATTTTAAAACTTATGGTCAGAGAACAACTTATGGTGTAAAACTCTTATTGATTTACTTTATTGGTTTAGCTCATAGCCTTCAAGATAAGGTCAGAGAACAACTTATGAATTTTAGGTGTAAAACTCTTACAGATTTCAAATGGTATAAAGATGATTTTCTTTCTTTCTAAAGTTTACAAGCTAGAGATTTTAAAACTTATGGTCAGAGAACAACTTATGGTGTAAAACTCTTATTGATTTACTTTATTGGTTTAGCTCATAGCCTTCAAGATAAGGTCAGAGAACAACTTATGAATTTTAGGTGTAAAACTCTTACAGATTTCAAATGGTATAAAGATGATTTTCTTTCTTTCTAAAGTTTACAAGCTAGATGATTGTAATAATCCTATTTGGAAAGAAAAATTTATTTCGGGTCTTTCACCCTTATTTGCCGAAAGAGTAAGAAAATCTATTAAAGAACAATGTAATTGACAAATACCTTATGCTCAAATTCCTTTTGGAGAATTAATCCAAAGAGTAAACACCATTGGTTTAAGACTTCGTAAAGATGTTAAAATTAAAAGGCAATTAAAAAATCAAAACCTTTTAGGTAAAAAGGAATTATGAGATTTTTGTTATCAGTTTGGTCTTCAAATGGAAAATCTAAGAATTAAAAATAAGAATAAGAATTACAGAAAAGCACAAAGACCTAGAAATGATAAAAATGACGAAAGAAAATCCCCTAGAAGAAAGTTTTCAAAAACTTCAAAAAAATAATATAATACAAAAACTCCTATATGTTATAAATGTAAGAAGGGACATTATGCTAATAAATGTTTTCAAAAGGACCTAAAAACAAAAGTTAATGAACTTCTATTAGAATCTAAAGATCTTACTACAGACAAAATCGATAAGTTCATTAAAACTTAGTGACGATGACGATGATTCATCAAATTATGATGACAAGTGCAACAATCTTTGCACTTGTTACAATAAAGACGGTGTTAAATCCTCTAAAAACTCTTCAGGAACTTCTGAGTTATATACTTTATGTGAACATGAACAGTTTATTCTTAATACGATAGATGTGATCACCGATCCACAAGAATATAGAACACAATTAACTATCTCGAGATGACGAAGAAAAAAAGAAAAGTTTTAGTAAAAAATATTGATGAAAAGAAGAGTAATGAACACTATACTTTCTGTGAAATTTTAAATAGAATTCGAAATGAAAAGAAAATTAAAAGTAAAATAAATATTGAAGAACTTCAAAAAGAAGATGGAAATACAAAGATAGAAATTCTATCTTCTTGATCTTAAACAAAATATAAAAAAAATCTGGAAACCTACTCAGAAAATAAAAATATAGAAGAATTTGAAGGCTTCAAAGAAATAAAAAACTTTGAATATGAAGAAACCTCCAATGGTAATGAATTTATAAATTCTATAAAAAAAATATGCTAAAAAGAAATGGAGGTGTGATATCATGCTTAACATTATAGATGAATACTTTGTTCAACACACAGCTCTAATTGACACTAAAGCAGATGTGAATTGTGTTAGAAAAGATCTTGTTCCTTCTAAATTCTATGAAAAAACATCACATCTGTTTAGCACTGCTAATGGGCAAGCTCTCAAAACAAGATATGAACTTATTGATGTTTATATTTGCAATGGAAGTCTTAAAATTAAAACTTCCTTTACCTTATTTAAAGACCTCAATCAACGTATTATTTTGGGAACTCCTTTTGTTAATAATCTTAAGGTTTTTATTGTAGATAATCACGTAATTCATACAAATGCCAAGAATCCCAATATTTCTTTCTGGTTTAATAAATAACCAGAAGACATATTAGTTAATCGTCTATTTTCTACCTTATATTACAAAGAAAATTTTATAAATGTTCTTTCTAATATAAGAGATAAAATTAACAATTATCTAGAATCTTTTAATTAAGACAATTCATAATAATAAAAGGAATGAACATTTCTCTTATGTAAAAAAAATTCGCGTTTAACTTTCGATAATAGATACTTTGACATGTCGGTCAAATGGATGAAAATATTTTCTCTCTATAAAGAAGAAATTGAAGAACACATTAAAGATAATCTAAGAAAAACTTCCTATGATACATGTTGTTTGGACTCTAGCAATAATTTTCAACATGGAGTCTCACGTCAAATTATTGATTATAAGGAGTCAAATAATCTTGTATCGTAAATTATCAGGTACCAAAATATCAAACTAATAATATTACACATGGAAAAATATTCTCAAATTTTTATATAAAAATGAGATTTTGGCAAATGCAAGTAATAGAAGAAAAATAGATTGGAAACCGTTCTCATCATGCCTTTCTCTTTTACAATTGGAGACGAAGGATGTCAGGGTATACTTACTTTCAGCAAGAATATCTAAAGTTCTTAGAATATTATCTTTATGAATGTCGAGATTTTCTTATTTTACTGCTAAAAGTAATAACACTCTTTTTAAGAAATTTGAAGAACATTAGAAACAATTAGAAATATTTTTTCGATACTTTAACGAAATATTGAACTCAAATAAATATTTTTGAAAATTATGCAAGAGAAAGATGCGTCATCAAGCTTCAACCTTACAAACTAAAGGAAAATTCTATTGCTCAAACTTAGCAATATCTACTTGTTCAATCCAAGCACCTTCTTCAAAAAGGTCAAAATATGTTTATGACCTAGGATTACAAATCCCTGATTATATGATTGTCAATGATGTATGGAATAGTATATGTGCTCAAGAGAAAAAGCAAATTAGATTTTATATGACTCGTTTAGTCCATCTTTTAAAAGAAAAAGATAAGAAATATGCGAAACAAAATAATTAGATACGAGAAAGATTTATAGATCTTTCATATGAGATTAATTATCTTTATCCTTATTCTCATAAGTTGACATTAACATCTAATAAGATGTTTCAGCTTCTTAAGTGGCAGAATATATTCAAGAAAATATCTACAGAGAACGTCTAAACATATAGCAATTATGGTCCAAACTAAATTTTCTGTCTCGAGATATTCAAAATGTTATTAAAGCAAAAGTCGAAGAAGACAATATTATTCCTCTTCTAAACAACCACAAAGAGTTCACAATCTTACAGCATATAACTCTCCTAGATTTGCTGTAAATCTTCATGAAATTCTTATGTATATATCTCATATAGAAGCATGGATCGTCTCTGAATTGAGAATTATAAGAGATCCGCCATTTTTCTATAATCCAATGAGATTTAAAGGATTGTCAGCCATTGTCAAGACAACTATCTTCATGTCTCCAATTAGTCTTGCACACCTTCAATTCAATATTACAGTTACATTACATGAGAGAAGCAACTCTAAACATTTCCACAACTAGTTTCACGAAGGAAGCAATGATATAGGGTTGGATCGTTTCCAACTACCATCCACTTCTACAAAAAAAAAAACTTGAATATTTGATCGAGGATTATGCATTTTATATGACAGACGGACTTCGAGCTATTTGCAAAAATATTAATATGGGAGAAGTTTCTCAAACAAAGGCAACAATAGTAGTTATAGAACGGTGGATGACCATTCCACTAATTGGTTAGAAATAAGTGTATGAAGTTTTTATGATAGTAAAATAATATCAAGAAAAAAAAATCCCTTCTCTAGATGGTATCAATCGATAGTGATCTCATAGAGGAAAAAACTCATAGATGAAAATATACGTGACATGCCATTAATTCATGGTAAAACTCTAAACATGATTAATACTAACGACTTAAAAATCAAGTCAATCATTTTTTAACAATATATTTTACCAGTTAAAAATAATAAACTCTATTGTAATTTTAAGTTATAGCTAAAAAGAAATAGATATCCACAATCCAGACAATTCCTACTGAAAAGAACGCATACAGTATGTTGTCAAATAATTCCATATCGAATTCTCACCTTAGATACTTAAGCATAAAGAAATTCATGGCCTCCTCCTAACTATACTAAAAAGACTGATCTGTAACCTATTTTCATAATAGGTTTTGGAAAATTTTATCACTATGGGTCCCACAATATCATGACAAGGCATTTAAGCATAATATCAATAAGTGACTATAAAAGGGGATGAAGTTCATGAAGTTAAAGGAGGCATTTAAGCATAATATCGAATTCTTTTAAAAGATGGGCTGAACGAGTCATATAAAGTCTAATTTGCTTTTTCTCTTGAGCACATATACTGTTCTATAAGATCATTGACAATCATATAATCAGGGATTTGTAATCCTAGGTCATAAACAAATTTTGACCTTTTTGAAAAAGGTGCTTGGATTGAACATGTAGATGTTGTTTAGTTTGAGCGATAAAATTTTCCTTTAGTTTATAAGGTTGAAAATTGATGATGCATCTTTCGCCTGCATGATTTTCAAAAATGTTTATTTGAGTTCAATATTTCGTTAAAGTATCAAAAAAATATTTCTAATTGTTTCTAATGTTCTTCAAAATTTCTTGAAAAGAGTATTATTAATTTTGACAGTAAAATAAGAAAATCTCGACATTCATGAAGATAATATTCTAAGAACTTCAGATATTCTTGCTAAAAGTATGTATACCCTAGCGGCCTTCGTCTCTAAGTGTAAACAGAGGAAGGCATGATAAGAACGATGTCCAATCTATTTTTTTCTAATACTTGCATGTCAAAATCCTATTTTTATATAAAATTTTGAGAATATTTTTCTATGTAGAATATTTTTAATTTGATATTCTGATGCCTAATAATTTACCCATACAAGATTATTTGACCTATATATATAGAGAGAGAGAGATACATATATGTATGTATGTATGTATAAAGAGAGGGGGAGGGGAGAAGGGGAAATTGTGGATACAACAAACTTACAGCCAGGAAAAAACTAATAAAGATAGGGCCCTGGATGAGAAGTCCCTTCAGTGGAGTAAATGGAGTAACCCCATGCCTTCAGTAACCAGTTAACAAGAGTAAAATGAAAGCAATTAGAACAAGAATTATCATGAAAGGAAAGCCTAAAAATTCAATTTGAGAAATACTTATGTAGGTAACTGAAACTGGATATTATTTTGAAAAAAGTAAACGGTATGAATAAGCCATAGATTGAGATTGATGTAGCAAAGCAAATAACTAGGAATTATCAGCAAGTCAGTAAAACCTCAACCCATGATATCCAATCATATTTATCTTCTATTTTCACTAGACAAATTGATAGACATGAAGACATAATGAATTCAGTATGCAAGTATAATTTCACACCTTTACTGTCATGCATATGCAATAAACTCTACCTTCATGATTATGACCTAATATGAGAGAGAGAGAGAGAAAGAGAGAGAGAGAGTCACACGTGTTTGGGTGTAAACTTCTTGATGATAAGGTTGCTGCATAACTAGTATTTCAGTACTTAATAGTCATTTTGCAGGAAAGTTAAATGTTTATTTCAAATGCAAAACTATTATAATGCTGTATAATCTTTATGTTACACTATCATGTAAATAATCTCCTGAGACCAAACACGAAGACAGAATCAACTGAGGCAAGTTTACTGTCAATTAAAACCTTGAAAACTTTGACCAATCTAAAAAGGAAAGACTATTCTCATGAGATGCATACTTTTTGAAAATTGCCTTCATCTTCTTTTGATTTTCCATCATAGTTTGTGGATCCATAGACTGCAAAAGGTGATAAGAATTAATTAATGGGGCTGGGCAACATAGATAAAATATGAGATAATTTATGTCAGTTTTTTCATTAATAGGTTGAAAAGCCACAGTTTCAAGCTGAGCTATCTGGCACCCCCTACACACAAATATAAAAGGATTAAGATAGCTTACATTCTGCATTTGGTCCTTGAGCTCCTCCATCTCTGGTCTCATAGCCTGTACAGGAAAAATAAGTCAATAAAAATGGCCATAAACAATATATTCTTTTATAAAATTATCAATTGCAAAGCACATAAAAATC